CTTTCAAGTTATCCTGTACACAGAGGGACAGACAGACAGACAAACAAAAACTTGACTAAAGACAGAACCTCCTTGGTGGAGGTAATCATTTACCAAAAGTATCTCAGTTGCATAAGTATCCCCATCCTTACACAAATCTTTACATTTCATTTCAGCTTCCAGTCACCTTTGGATCGGGGCTATTAGCTTTCCGCTGTTTGACTCATGGAAGTTTCTCCAATCCGTCAGAATTTGTGCAAAGTTGCAGTAAAAGGATTTGGGACAGGGACGTAATTTAACCAACAAGTCTCCAACAACTAAAACACTAGAATACTAGAATACCGAAGACGATTGATGAGTTCTAAAGTAAAACTTAGAGATAGGTTGAGGAGCTCAGTCATCCAAGGAGGATTTAGAGTAGAACTGCTGCTCCTCCACGTCCTGGAGGTCTCCCTGGTGAGGTGTTCCAGGTGCGTCCCACTGGGAGGCCCAGGGGGAAACCCTGGAAACGTTGGGAGGACTATGTTTCTCAGCTAGCCTGGGAGCACCTTGGGATTCCCCCAGAGGAGCTGGCCCAAGTGGCTGGGGAGAAGGATGTCTGGGCCTCCCCACTGAAGCTGTTGTCCCTGCGAGCCAACCCCAGATAAGCGGGAGAAGATGGATGGATGGATGTTCTCACACTGGAGAAATTTACCTCTGCATTTAACCCATCCCCTTTGGGAGCAGTGGGCTGCCATTGTGCGGCATCCAGGGAGCAGTGTGGGGTCAATGGTTTTGCTCAGGGACACAGGGTGCAGGCTGTGAGGATCGAACAGGGTTCTTGCAACTTTCTCAGAGCACAAGTGCACTGCTATAACCACTAGGGCAACACTCCCCAAGATCACAATCAATAACAGACTCTAACTGGGCCACTTCAAAATGTTGCCTTCTTTTCATTTTTATAATTTTAGCATTTAATCTACCTTTTAAAAAAACCCCAGTATACCATTACAGAATGATGCTACCACCACCCTCTTTTATTTTGGTCATATTTCTTTGTTCTTTTTGGTCATGTTGCAATATTCTTTTTGCAAATATAAACTTATCAATGATTGAACTAGAAATTTTAGCCTGGGTCCCTGAAACCAGAAAACAACCAGAAAGTGACAGACTCCTTTAATCCCTTCAGTGTTGCCATCGCTGTCATTTTGCTTTTGCTCCTGACTGATACCTTGTATAGTAAGATTTTTTTGATGCTCTGGAAACACCGGCTTTAGCTAAGAGATCCAAGGACATTTTTATGTATAGCTAAGTTATAGCAAATATGTCAGATTAAAAAAGGCAAATAAAGCTTCTTAATTACTCATAATGCAGAGACTTTAAGGCTACAAAAAGATAGATAAAGACATTAATGGTTGTGGAGTGCTTTATGGGAATGGCTCTTTTATTCATGAAGTTTTAATTGAAATAGTTGTTTCTAGTGAATCTATTTGAACCTTGGCCATGTAGCCCTTTCTGTTTCCCCCCATCCATGTGTGGGTGTCTCCTGCCATCTTCCTGCCACAGTCCAAAACCATCCATGGTAGGTTAATTGGTGGTTGTAACTGGGGGCAATGAAGTACTTGCTCTTATTTGCAAACCCAGAAGCAAGAGCTGGAGACTTGACTTCCTGCTGAAAGCAGCATAATTTTAATTTGAAGGCTCTGAGCTGAGCCTGTGACATAACAGTGCCTTTCAAATCTGAACAGCTCACTCAATGAAATATTTTCAGAGGTACGCAACCCTAAACCACAAGGATTGTGTGATATCGAAGTCTTTGTTTCACAGTCCCCCAAACAAATGCTCTGAAGCAATGAAAAGTAATTATGTGTCATAAATCTCCTCTAATCTCAAATTTCCTGAAACCATAGGGAAAGGTTGGAGTAGTAAGGGCGAGCGGTAATGACTTGCACTTTGGCATCAATAAATTTCCGAGACACTTTAAAAGAATTGGAACAGCCTTTGACAGCAAACCCTCTCTGAAAGCTTTATACCAAACATGAAACTGTATTAGTTAGTATTTCAGCTGAGCTGGAGACCGTTCATCTGTTTTGCCATTAGCTAAATTGCACAAAATCAAATTAATGCACAATGCAAACTATGTGCAAGCTGAGTGTAAGTACCTCGTGTAAATCCTTTTTGTCAGAACAGCGAGTGTTAGTGTTGGTGCTCTGGAAATCAAGTCTTATGTCTTACATTGCCACATACTTAATCAGTCTTTCACTATATCAGTAAGAATACGGGAAGTATAGGTTATCGACTCATGCATTTATGCAGCATTTCTAAATTAAGTTTAAATAAGGACTAATGGATGTTTTGAAGCACACATGTGGAATGTTTGTAACGGTAAATAGGAGCATAAATATAACCACTGCAAGCTTCAAGTAAAGACCAGGAAGGGAAACACAGTGACACCATAATGCACAGGCCTTGACCTTTTTCCACTATTTGTCTTATTACAACCATCAGCATCAATGTCTTTTATTGGGATTTTAAGCGACAGACCATAAACTGAAACTTTAAAAGGAAAAGAAAAATTATAAAAATTTCAAAAGGTTTCGGAAATTTGGTTATAATTGTAATAATACTTTCATGATAAAAAAGACAACTACAAAAGAACAACACATAACTGCAGACACAGGGTACCCACAGTGAAATAGGTAGGTGGCAGCATCATGCTGTGGAGATGCCTTTCTTTGGCAGGGACATGCAAGTTAGAGCTGAGGGAGAGAAGGAGCTGAAAGCTGATAAGTACTAGCCTGGTAAACCAGATTAAATGTGAGATTAAAAGTGTAATTTAGTCTGGTCCCAATGAATGAGACATCGGAAGATTGTTGAGAACATCCCGTTGTCTTTATAACCGCTGTCTGTGTCTATTGGCCAACGCTCTGACCAATGAGTGCACCTGACTATGACGTAGGAAGCGTGACAGGAAGTTGCTGGGGGAGTGTAGACAAACAGCCTGTCGGTAAAACAGCGAATACGTCCTTTAAAACGAATAAGCGTAGAGCATCTTCCTGCTCACATTTCAACGAAAATCCCAAGTCTAATCCTTCCAAAACTGATTCCAAAGCTGAGTCAAAAATCGGCATCAGAGCCAGCGGTCCTTCACAAAGGACTATGTCGAGAGGGGGCTGCGGCAGACGGGCTGCGGTTAGCCCCTGGCTAACATTGCCCTTGGGGGTCCGCTGGTTGCCGCGGTCCTCTCATCTTCGGAAATAGTTTTATTTTAATTACGCATTTAATCGGTAAATGGACCATGTAGTTACACTTTAAGAGTATAATATTCTCGCCTCAAATTATCTTAAAACGTACTTTTATTGAACAACAGCAACAGAAAAGAGAACTTTTAACTTTCAATGAAGCGCTCCATTGAAAGCTGCTGCTGCCCCATAGTAGTCTCCAGCTTCCTTGTTGTGCTTTCTCCAGCATCGCTCAGCTATGTCCTCATGCCCTCAAAACCCCGCCCGCTTTGCATCCAGAAATTCAAAACACATCTCTGCGTTGTGATAGGCCCTCCAGTTCTAGGTCCTGGGACATTGATAGAGGCTAGACCAACTCGCAAACAAAAATGATTTTGGCCACTGGCGGGTGGGGCTAGTTTACTAGGCTATAAAGTGCAGCTAAATCGTGTAATAAGCTGCAAAATACATGAAACAGAATCACATTAAGCTGTTTAAGTGAAGTTTTGTGCTCATTTAAGTTGCTTTTATATGCACTGTGTTCAGATATTAACTCTAACTACATACATTTTAGAACACAAATAGCTTAACAAAACAATATGTACATGATGTCAAGCTATAAAGCTTCAGTGGATTGTATTTTATCAAATCATATTCATATTCACAGAGGACTACAATTATGTGGCTTTTTTAAAAAGCTAGAACAGACAAAAGTCTCCTTCCCTAGAAGTGTAGACATGATGGACACACACATCCAAACACCTACTGGAAGACCTGTAGCTGTGACTGCTGCAGAGGGGATTCTTCAAAGTGTTTATATTGGAATAATGAAAACTAACCCGTATCCGTATCCCTCCACGAATATGATCTACTGTAAAGTGCTCTACCCCCAAGACTAGACCCACAAGTGCATGGAAAATAAAACAGAAGGTTGAGTTTATAACATTACAGAATGTAAAATATTGCCAAGATGGATGTTAACCCTTTATAGGGCAAGTTACTGTTTTTGATCACTTGTATACCCCTTAGAAATGGAGCCCCCCACTTTTGTTATATTTCTTAATACATTCGGGCAAGTTGGCGTTTCTGTTATTATATTGACATCAGTTTTTGCCATAAAAATATCCATATGTTTGAATGCTACAAAGATTATAAGGTAATGATCTAAAAATTAGTGAAAATGTCTTAAAATAAGTGTATTTACCCTTAATTTGAGTAGGTAAATAAGAAAATCTCCCAGTAGGATGAGCATTTTTATCCATGAAATCAGTTTTTTCCCCTTATTTTAAATATAAATGTTCTTATTCCATTTGCAGTTCAAGAAAAAATGACTTACTTAGATTTCAGTTTTTTTTGCAGTGCACTCTTGCTTGAAAGTTAGAAATTTTAAGTCTTTCACTGAGTGCCCTATAAAGGGCTAAGTATTGTAATGCACTCCATTGTGAAGATCAGGAGAGGTCATCTTATGTAAGAGCAATGGGAATCACAGAGCCAAAAAGGTTGCACAGGACAGGATCTATGAGATGAAGGACTAATCATAGTTTGAAAAGGTTTGAAGAAAGAGGAGATAGGGAGAGTTTGTTATTTTTCTCTCCAAAAGAAAAAAATGGCCAGATTCAACTTCAGCTGCGCTTTTTGAAAGATGATCCTATTGATCATCACGATGGTCACTGTGCCGCTTGTGGTAATGAGTCATGATGAACATAATAGGGCACCAGTGTTAATCACTTCCGAGAGGGAGACGTGATGGAGAGCTCAAGAGGGAACCAGGAGCCAAAAGCGTGAAAAGCAGAGGTAGGCACTTAGGAAAGGAAAAAAGATGGGGGGCTAGGAGAGTTTTCTTTCTTTTTTTATTTTTTTTTTTGAGTCCCATCATTATGGTAAGGCTGAGTTAGAGTCACGCGTGTGAGAGAGAGACGGAGAGAGAGAGAGAGAGGAGCAGAGAGGATAGACAGAGAGAGGCGGCCGACGATGACAGCGTTCGTCCTTCTCAGACACAGTTTTGTGACCGACTGACGGACAGCTCCAGCATCCGAAGAGGAAACTTAATAATCACAGAAAGATCCAAGACGGGAAGGTAATTTCCACCTTTTTCATTTTAATTCTAACTCATCATGCACATGATTTATATTTGATCTCGGTCGGACTGAGTGGAGATGAGACCCAGTTTCCCCCATCATCACCATCATCGCTCGGGTATTTGGGAATTGCCTGTCTGCTCTTTGGCATCACTGCTCCACACTCAACGGGAATCACGACTGAATTCTACTTTTGATATTCTTTTTAATATGAGACTGTGGATCGGGGTGGATATTATTTTAGATAACTGGAATCATTGATGGAGAGGCTCCGTGCGCATTTGCGCCAGGTTTTTATCGCTTTAAAATAATAAAAAGATAAATAGCTTTAACTATGATATAACTATATATTTTAATTTGGCAAAAAATGCAATCAGTGGAGCAAATGCTGCCGGAGAATGATGAATATAGGCAGGAGCCCCGTTTGAAAGTCCTTGCTTAAAGACTGTGGACCAGTCCCCTGACGCACACCGCCACGCGCTTTAATGTGGGATTATTTAACCGCAATGGTGAAAAACAAAACAATAATTATTGATCCATTCATAGTTTGCATCTGATTTGTGCATCGTTTAGGTTTTGCCCCCTCCCGATTAAGGTGAATAAGATTGCACTTTTTTCCCCCCCTCTCCCTGACAAACGGACAGGTTACATTTTTGCTTTACGCATTCCAAACAAACGGGCTCAAACAGCTCCGGGCGCAAATATTTTAGCTTTGCACAATCCGTTTATGCGCAAATCTGTCTGCGGTCCAGCGTGTCCCTAAAGAGGCTGTAAGTCTCTTCAAAACGGCTCAATTGTCGGTGATGGCACCGACACAACACATAAAGTGTTTATGTGTTTTGCTGGCGGGATAATCCCGTTTCTGATTAATTTCAACTGAATCATATCAACTAGGTGAGAACACATTTACTTTGTTCATTATCAATACCTATTGTTATTAGAAGCATTGCTATGTAAAATTAATTTCTGGTTTTCCTTTTTATGGCATATGCACGATATAAGAGGAGAAATGTTCATGCAAAATGCACTTATTTACATTTGTATATATATATATATATATGTCAACATTGTTGATTGCATTTAGCTTGTTTGTTATGCATTGTTAAAACTCTGTGATAACAAATCATTAATCAGATGCACCTCTGTGGTGTCAGAAGTTATAATGGCCACCCTTTGGCATAGATATGTGTCATGTTTTTTTCTTTCGTTTAAGATGTTAATGAGCCAGTTTATTGAGTTTTTTTTTTTTTTTACATTTTATTTTTATTTAACATTAACATTTTCTTTCCCATTTTGATTAAAAATTTCGCGCTTGGCTCCACCCCCAAATTATTTTTTTGTATTAGTTTTGTCAGAATTTTGGGGAAGATTAAGCAAAGCAGTTTTTTTTTTCTTTTCTTCAATCTTTAAAATTAGCAGCCTACAGCCTACTAGTCTGCTTAAAAAAAAAAAATCTCAGATCCGTTTTCTTACTTGATCAAGTTCCTTTCATTGCTGCTTCTGATACAGATCTCCAATTGATTTGGCTTTTGGTAAATCACACAAGTAGTCAAACCCCACTCCCTTTGGCCACCCCCTTACAAATTTTTTTTTTGAGGCGCCCCTGCTAATTGCTGGCATTCATTACACACCTTAAGTTGTCGACAATAAGTCTTTGGCTTTATAACTACTTGTGCCAGAAATGAGCTTGTGCCTTTGCAGAAATGGTCCTTTTTTTCCCTGTGCACAAATGTAATAATGTGTGTGTGAGACCTTAAGCATCCACTGCCCCTCCTGGGAAATACATTTGCTTGGATTTATGACCTGCCTTCTCAGGTTATATCGATTATTACAGCCTGCTGTGTACCAGCTATATTTTTGTAAGAGCAAGAAAAGTGGGTCTACCATATCTATATATAAATTCTGGATGTTGTTGGGAGCACAGCAAGCGTTTGAAACAGTCATCTTTGCAGCTGAGGTCAATTCTCTAGTGAAACATCTTTGCTCTTACAGCCCCTTGTTGAGCACATTAGGACTAATGTTATACATGAATGGCTCCCACACACTCTCACATGCACTTTTATGATGGGTCTTAAGCGATTGTAATGGGTCCGATCGGTGTGAGAACTGCTTATGTATGGGGAAAGCTAGTATAGTAAACATCCCTTGGTGAATACCACAATTGCATTATGTGTATGTAAGGCTATAATTTGCATATGGATTGTGATGATGTCTGCATATCAGTTCCTTTGATTGTATAAGCACTTGTCTATAATCTTTCCCTTAACCAGTTGGGACAATGTTGGAATTCACTTGGTAAGAAATCAAAATAGGGAAGCATCTTTTTTTTTCTGCTCTTGTTATGAGAATGCATGTGCCAGTCTGCAGCAGTTATTTATTAGCTGGAATCACAAGGAGGTAAAAAAGGGCACAGAGGTATCGAAGGTCTAGTTTGATAAAGGGAAGAGGGCTTGATAAAAGGGGTGCAAGAGTAAAGTTGAATAGATAAAAAGGAAGAAAAATGAGTAAAGGACGTGATGAGGAAGAGGAAGAGCAGGTGGACATAGTAAAAACGGGTTACACAGAGTCTCCTACTGCCCAAGGGTTAGAAACTGGAAGGAAACTGAAAGGTGCTGCTGTTGTAGCATAAGAAAGGCACATTTTGTATAGATTTGATCAATCTTAATAATGCGCCACACAGTTGGGAAATGGTGACAGATGGAACCACATAATAAGGAAAAGATGCCAAGAGTGGACATACTGTACTGTATAAAATATGAGGTTGTTTGAAAAACCCCTTTAAGCTTTAACAGTTTTAACATCTCTGGGGATTAGTAATGACAAAGAGGGGGGAAGTCAACTCTTACCCTAACCTCTGATATACCTTGTAGCCAACAAAAGAAGGTAGTCACAGTCCTATGACACCTGATCTATGTTAAGGCTACCCTGTTGGCAGAATTATGTCCCCTGACAGATGGTTTCTGTGACCAGCAGTGACCAAAACACGTTGGCAGTGAAGTGTACCAAGATGGAATGAATCACTGGATGCTACCCAAGAGAAGTTCTTTTAGTGGCATTGACACAAAAAATGAAATTGTGGATGGCACCTGTTTAACCCTGTCTATGTATGTGAACCCTTATGAGTTTCTCTAAATAACTCCCTTGCTATCTTAAGGCTGATTCCACTATCGAAAGCTTATGTGCAGACATGGCCAACTTGACTGCTGAGGAAAAACAGTCATAATAGCATTGTCAAAGTTCAGAACAGGGGATCCAGTAATCAAGGCAGACAGACGGTTAGATTTCTCTAAAAGGCATTTATCAAAAAAAACAAAAAAACAATGGCTCTGCGGTAACTGCAAGGACATCAAAGGCAGGAAACCTGTGCAGTGGAAAACTCAGGTTAGTGAGCACGTTAATCTGGCGGAGGAAGATTATGAGCACGTGAGTCACTAACCTGGTCTTAAATTTCAGTCCGTACCTAGAGGAAGAGCTGGATTCCAGCCAAATGGCTGCAGTAACACGTCTCAGATGCTGATGCTTTTCAAGACTGCAGAACTGGAAGAGGATCAGATCCAAGCAGATGAAGGAAAGCAGGACTATGCACAAGACAAAGCTGCCCGAAGACAGTGTCGTGGAGACTCACAGGAGTCTGGGCCAGAAGGTCAGAGATTCGAAGAGGTACCAAAGGGAAATCTAGATGGGTGTCAGAAAGCAGATCCAGGTTCGGTCAACAGGTATAATCCAGCAGGAGTCTGAAGACAGGACATGCAAACAGATCAGAATGGGAACAGGCAGGCTCAGAGGTCCAAAGGCAGAACTGGTCAGGATCAGGCAATCAGAAAACAATCAGGTACACTAGAGAACTCTCATCAAAGGCTTGAATAATCTGGCACTGATGACTGGGAGCAGGCAGCTTAAATAGACTGGAGCAGGTGACACAGATGAACTTTGTTGAGAAACTGGGTGGAGCTAGACAGGTGAATGGAATGAACAATCAAGCCCGTTATCAGCGCCAAGATCATGACAAACAGTGAAGCTGTAAATTTTGTAGTATAGGTTTAAAGATGATCAAGACTTTAGAAAAGTTATTGTTGGGTCCTGTAAATGGGATACCAGAAACAGCTTACTTATCAGAGTCTTATCTGACTTTCTTCCAAGTAGAGCTCTGCAGTTCATTAAGCTTCTGCTTTTAGATGTTTTCAGGACTTGTCTCTGTTCTATCTGCTCAGTTCTGTCTGTTGTTGCCTCAGTTCGTGCAGAATGAGCCTCCACTCACTGGAAGGTTGGCTAACACCAATCTCAAATCTTAAATATCTTTTAAAGATTTTTTAAACCTGAATTCTAATTTGAGTAGGCTTTTATTGTAGTAGCTTTACAGTAGATGTCGTATTGTATCATTTATTTCATATGTTTTCTTTTTTTTATGGCCTTGTACGAGTTTGGGTGACTTGACAATTTTTTTCTTCTTCTTACTTTTAGTAAAGACAAATGTAATTGTTTGGAAATACATCTACCCACTGAAAAAAAAAAAAAAAAACATGGAATCACGACCAAATTAAATAAAACAACAACTTTCGAATTAATTTGATTGATTAGATAAAACTGTGATGGTTTTACGTTTGCCTATTGCACTTGGAGAACCTTGTTTTTCTAAATTTGAATTTCTTACAGTAAATATTTTCTCTTATTTTCAGCAATTACAGCATTGCATTTTTACAGAAGGTTGTTGCTACTCCTGACTCTCCTCTGCCAAAGGCAACCGGTGTTACTTTGCGGGAGTGACAGATCACTTCCTAATACTGTTGCCAAGTCTACATGGTCCCTCCTTCCTTTATTGACTCCATCACAGTCCCTGAACCTGCATATGTGGCCCTGCATGGTAATCCTTATTTTGTGGAGGAGAATGTAACGTCATGCACATCCACACCAGGGACAACATAAATTATCAGTGAGTCCCCTATTTCCTTTTGATTCCCTCCTAATGAGAATGAGAGAACCCCTGTGATGATCACCCTTG